TCCCTTCTATCACCCCACCCCCCTTATCTTATCCTCTTCCCTTTCTATTTTCCTGTAGGGCAGGATAGATTTCTATACCCCATTGCCTGAATATCTTATTTCCCAGTTGCATGAAAAAATAATTTTAAACATTTGTTTTTAAAACTTTGAGTTCCAAATTTTCTTCCTTCCTACCTCCCCACCCACCCTTCATTGAGAGAGCAAGCAATTTGATATAGGTGTAGTCATGTGTAGTCATGCAAAATGCTTCCATAATAGTCATGCTGTGAAAGACTATTTACCTCCATTCTGTCCTGCCCCCCCACCCCCGTTTATTCTATTCTCTCCTTTGACCCTGTCCCTCCTCAAAAGTGTTTGCTTCTAATTACTCCGTCCTCCAATCTGCCCTCCCTTCTATCATTTGCCCCTCTCTTATCCCCTTTGCTCCTATTTTCCTGAAGGGTAAGATAGATTTCCATATCCAATTGAGTGTGTATGTTATTCCCTCCTTAAGCCAAATCTGATGAGAGTAAGATTGACTCATTCCCTCTCACCTCCCCCCTCTTCCCCTTCACTGTAAAAGCCTCTTCTTGTCTGTTTTATGTGGGATAATTTACCCCTTATACCTCTCCCTTTCTCCTTCTCCCACCACAATCCTCTCTCACCCCTTAATTTTATTTTTTAGATATCAACCCTTCACATTCAACTCATCTTGTGCCCTCTGTCTATATATAGAAAAATATTCCCTCCAACTACCCTAATACTGAGAAAGGTCTCATCATCTTTCCATGTAGGAATGTAAACAGTTCAACTTTAATAAGTCCCTTATGATTTCTCTTTCCTATTTACCTCTTCATGCTTCTTTTGAGTCTTGTATTTGAAAGTAAAATTTTTTATTCAGCTCTGGTCTTTTCAAGAATGCTTGAAAGTCCTCTATTTCACCAAATTTCCATTTTTTCCCCTGAAGGATTATATTCAGTTTTGCTGGGTAGGTGATTCTTGGTTTTAATGCTAGCTCCTTTGCCCTCTGGAATATCATATTCCAAGTCCTCTGATCCCTTAATGTAGAAGCAGCTAAATCTTGTGTTATCCTTATTGTGTTTCCACAATACTTGAATTGTTTCTTTCTGGCTGCTTGCAATATTTTCTCCTTCACCTGGGAACTCTAGAATTTGGCTATAATATTCCTAGGAGTTTTCCTTTGGGAATCTTTTTCAGAAGGTGATCGGTGGATTCTTTCCATTTCTATTTTACCCTTTGGTTCTAGAATATCAGGGCAGTTTTTCTTGATAATTTCTTGAAAGATGATGTCTGGGCTCTTTTTTTGATTGTGGCTTTCAGGCAGTCCAATAATTTTTAAATTCTCTCTCCTGGGTCTATTTTCCATGTCAGTTGTTTTTCCAATGAGATATTACACATCGTCTTCTATTTTTTCATTCTTTTGGTTTCATTTTATAATTTTTTGATTTCTCATACAGTCATTAGCTTCCATTTGCTCCATTCTAATTTTTAAGGAATTATTTTCTTCAGTGAGCTTTTGGACCACCTCCTTTTCTATTTGACCAATGCTGCTTTTTAAGGCATTCTTCTTCTCATTGGTTTTTTGGACCTCTTTTGCCATTTGGGTTAGTCTATTTTTTAAGGTGTTATTTTCTTCAATATTTTTTGGGTCTCCTTTAGCAAACTACTGACTTGTTTTTCATGATTTTCTTGTATACCTCTCATTTCTCTTCCCAATTTTTCCTCTACCTCTCTTACTTGACTTTCAAAATCCTTTTTGAGCTCTTTCATGGCCTGAGACCAATTCATATTCTTCTTGGAAGCTTTGACTTTGTTGTCTTCTTCTGGGTAGATGTTTTGATCTTCTTTGTCACCAAATTAAGATTCCACAGTCTGAGTTTTCCACTGTTTGCTCATGTTCCCAGCAAATTACTTGAATTTTTAACTCTTCGTTAGGGTAGGGCTCTGTTTCCAGTGTGGGGGGTGTACTGTCCCAAGCTTTGGGGGTTTTGTGCAGCTTTTTTCAGAGATACTACTAGGGACCTACAAATTTTTAGTTCTTCCAAGGTGGTATGATCAAAGGAGAGGTGTTTTACTCCTTTCCTGGCCTGTTCTCTGGTCTATGAGTGACCACAAGCACTCTTTTCTTCCATGGAAATGTGAGGATTCTCTCTCCACTGTGACCACAAGCTCCACCACGCCAGCGCGCCTCCTCACCCCAGGACTGCGACCCAGATCCAAGCACGGGCAAAGCAAGAGAATCCTGCCTCAGTGCCAGCAAAGACATCCCTGCAGTCCCCCTCTGATCAGCTGTTTGATCCCCCCACCATCTGTGGGCTCACAGCTCTAGAAGCAGTGCTGCCACTGTGGCTGCCACCCCAGGGCTGTGCTAGGGCCAGGGTGGGACTACGCTCCTCTCTCACACGGATCTAACAGACCTTTCCCACTGACCTTCTAAGTTGTCTTTGGCATTTGGGGTTGAGAAGTCTGGAAACCAACACAACTGCCCATGATTCAGTTTCCTGAGGCTTGTTCTGAGTTTGCTCTGGCCCTGTCTTTGCCTGTGTGGCCACGCTGAACTGTGCTCCTCTCCCAGCCCAGCACAGCACAAAAGACCTTTCCCATCAACCATCCACGTTGTCTTGGGCTGGAAATTTGTTTCACTCTGTATTTCTGTAGGTTCTGCTGCTCTAGAATTTGTTTAGAGTCATTTTTTACAGGTATTTGTTCGGGGGAGAGCTCAAGCAAGTCACTGCTTTTATTCCGTCATCTTGGCTCTGCCCCGTCTATGAATTCTTAATTAAAAAAATAACAAATATAAAGTGAAAAAATGTCCCCAAACTAAGAGAAAAGTATAGTACACTTGGTTCAATTAAAAACCATCTCTGACAGTGACCCAATTCCTATAGGAATGATGACATGATCACCTTAGAACTACATACAGCTTAAAGCTTCTAGAGAGCATATGTATGTGTGCATGTGTACTAGTTTGCTTTATTTTCCTAGGTACCTATAAATTTGTGAGGCAAGTTTAATAAGCCTTTACAGAATCTTAGAAACTAACAACGCAGCAAAGAGGGGCAGCTGTCCTTGGAAAACTCCATAAGTCCTATACAGACTAACTTTCCCTATATAGACTAACTTTCTTACTCTCACCTCTGATCCACTACTATTCAACATCATAAATGTTTCTGATTGTGTTGCCCATGACTGAAAAACCGTGATCTCCCTGTTTACAATTTTATAAACCTAGAGATTTGGAAAGGTGAGTGTAAATAAGATCATGTAAGTAAAGTATTTTGCAAACCTTTAAGACCAATATAACTGTTAGTTATTATTGTTGTTGTTGTTGTTATTATTATTAAGGTCCAAACAAGGAAAACTTTAATACAACATGCTTTTTTCCTCATGTCATATATATCAAAAATTGGAAAACAGTTCTATATGTAAGGGGATAAAAATATTGAGATCCCATTGGATTGCTTTCTTGAAATCTTTATTCTTTTAAGTCATCTATCTGGAAAAAGAATAGTTTTCAAATATTCTAAAGTTTATATAAATATGTGTAAAAATATCTGTGTATGGCACAGTATAGAGAGCTCTGGTCTTAGGAGTGAAGAAGACATGAACTACACTTACTAGCTAAGTGACTCACTATTCTAAGGGTGGGGAACCTGCAGCCTTGAGGCTATATGTGGCCCTCTAGGTCCTCAAGAGCAGCCGCTTGCGTGAATCCAAAGTTCACAGAACAAAGTTCACAGCCACCCCTACATGGCTGATCAACTCAGCATCTCTGGGTCTCAGGGTATACTCTAAAAATTTATCTAAATTGGTGGAGGGAGTTCCCACACTCACAAAACCAGAGATTCTTGACATACTAACAAATCTGGTGATAAAATAATAAAAAAGAGGTCTAAATATTAAAGAAACAAAATTACTTCTCATAATTACAACTGACCAAAACACTCTTACTAACAGGATCCAGCTCTAAATGCCAAAGGATTAAAATCAGGGATAAACAGTTTTAACTCAGAAATTCACTCTAGCATAATTAAATTTCACTTGCCACAAAATCTTGTATCACATCCATCTTTTAAGTCCAGAGTGGAAATGACTGAAATTATTGCTTATTATTGTTCCTGTTAAGAATGAGTCTCTCCATCTTCACCAGGCTCAAAGTGCAGGGGTTACTCAAAGGATCTGATCCTTCTACTGACTGGCATAGTAGCTGTGACCTACTCCATTTTGGATCTGAGCTGATTTGTACCTCCTTTAGCAATCTAGAAGCTTTCCTGCTTCTGAGGACTTGTTAAACTGATACTGAGTTTTAGTGAGGACACCCAATCTACATAGCCCATTGCAGCTCAGAACTTTGAGCTCAAGAGACACCAGCCTCAGCCTTTTCAGTAACTGAGATTATATGCATGAACTCCACTATGCTTGGATTAAAGTGGGAAAATTAAAAAAACAAAAAACAAAAAACAACCAAAAATGAACAGAATACTAGGGAAAAATGATTGCCTTTAGTTATGTAATATTTTATAAGAACTATTTGTAAGTATCCTATGATTTATTCCTTCATTCACTATACTTAATGAGCATCTTCCATAAGGGCATGCATACACGAATAAGACATAACCTCTGGACTTATAGAACCCACTGCCTAGTAAGGAAGACAAATCATTCCCACAAAAAAACTATAATATAAGGTAGAACAAAAGTAGAAAATACTAGAGGAATTCAGAAAAGAGAGATCACTTATGGTTGAGATGATCACAGAAGGCTTTATGGAGGAGGTGGCATTTGATTTGGATCATAAAAAAACGGTAGGTCTTCAACAGGAAGATATAGAAAGTTATATTGAAAGTTATTTCCTCTAGTTGAAGATGTGGCATGGACAAAGGTTCTTAATGAAATAGGGCTAATGGATAATAAATTCTATAAAACATTAATAATACCTAAATAAACCAAAGATGGAATGAAAACATTTTATATTTGAAACAAGTTTTCTAAGCACTTACCATTTTCAGGTAGTGTTTTCTTAAGTGAATCAATAAGGGTACTGACTGCTTTTAAAACAAATATGATTTCTGTCACTTGTTGCCTAAAAGAAGTGAAAATTATTTCAGTAAAAATTTACAACTTATCTTTTGGAACAGAAAAATAATGGGAAAGGTTTTCAACAATACTGAATGCAAATGAATCTGAAGTACAATAAGCTAATTTTAAAATTCTGTCTTTTTATCCTTCACATGAAAAATACATTCAATATATGAGCAAATCAGGTAAATTGTAATTCCTGAGGGTTATAGTCCTCTCTATCCCCAAACAAAGATACCACTACTGTTCCAAATGGACAATCTCAAGGTATTCCTATTTGAAGATGGTATAAAAGATGAATAAAGGTTAATAAAGGTTAACACGGGTTAGTTAGTATGGTTCTGTTAGTGAATACTACCAAGTACAGGCAGCAATTTAAAGGCACCAAATACTCTCTTGCAGATGGTCTGCCTTTTCAATGCTACGTTGTAAGCCTTGGCTGTAACCTTTTGATAAGTTTCCTGTGATTGAGTTCAGTTTGGATATTCTTGGCCTTATCTTCTGGTTAATGTAGCCATGGTAATCATTTCTGACAGGGATGAGCAAGAGCAGGGGTCTCGGTCTCCAGGCCACAGGTTCCCCACCCTTGAGCTAGAGTAAACACATATCGTTTATGCTGCCAAAGGTGTTAATTAAGTAGGTTAGGTAAAAACAGAAAAAAGATTTCAAACAGAGATAAGTAATAGACACAACCTATTCTCTCAGGTTTTCTGCTTTACACCTTACTCTGGTGCTAAAGAGAGAATGTTGTGATTAATCATTATAATCATTGTTTACTGATAAGTAAAAAGAGTATGCCTGCATTTTTAATAAAATTAAATAAAAGACAGAACCTTGGAAGGGGACATTTGCCACTGAGTCTTTCATCCTCTATGTAGCGATGTAGGACATCTTGGGATCTCTTCAAGAGCACTGAGAGGGCCATTCGTGAGATATAACCTTCCTGAGGTGTCGTCACTTTGTTACTGAAGGAAAATTGGAGTAGTGTTTCAAAACACATTTTAGAAAATTCTTCTCTCATTCGAATATCAATTTCTGCTTCTGTAAAAGTAACACATGATCTTTAATTTAATAGTGAAATAAGAGACTGAAGTCTAAAACCCTCTTATTGAATCTTAAGCACAACTCTGGAAGACTTCTAAAATAAGTGATATTCTAGATTACATTATTGGAAGTAAGATGTATTAATATTTTAAATGGCTGCACCATTAATCTAGTTATATATAGCTCTTTTCATGATAAGGAAGTAATATGTTTCTAGGTTACAGAAACTATTACTGAAAATGATGTTTTCATTAAGAGCTATTCTGTGGAAATGTTTATTTAGCAAAGAAAAAAAACACCACCACCATTTTGCTTAGACTAAATCAGGAGAGTAGCTTTTGAGAACCTTGTACTTAACTCCAAAGTCTCTCTCTGGACATAGGGAAAGAGAAGCCAGTTTTCATTTTAGTTAAGTTTGTTTCACTTGAGAGTTAGATCAAAAAGGACTGGTAGGTAAGGGGGGGGAATGATCTGATAAGATCTGAGTGAGTAAAGAAGTACTTAGAATATGTGTGTGATTTCCTTAAGGGTGGAATCCATAGAGTCTGAAGTGAGACTACCTTAATTTCCAGCACCAACAGTTTCTACCTTCTATGACTATAAGTGGATTTGTGCTCTTCTCAGGCTAACTTAATTTTGAAATAATAATAGCTATCATTTATATAATGCTTATTATGTCCCAGCATTGTGCTAAGTGATTTACAATTACAAATTACAATCTCATTTGAGATAATAAAAGCTGAAGTACGAAAAACAAATCTCTAGATCTTTAATTGAATGAAATGTCTACCCCAATTAATGGAACGAGATGATTTCTGAAGTGAAGAAATAGAAGCCTTACATTTCTCAAAAGAGAAGAAAAAGGAAGAGGAGCAAAAAGATTGTAATAATGTAATGACTAACCTTTTATAAGCAGTTATAAAAAATTTTCAACTCACATTTATGTTCTCTCTCTGATCCTCTGCCCTTCAATAATCCCTATTCTCAAGCAGCTTACATTCCATCAGGGAACAGGGACCTATGACTTCACTAGCAGAAAGAGCTCAGGGTGAGGAATTTTTTCTACCAATGCAGCTTAGCAACTTCTCATCAATCTATAGTCTTGGAGAGAGTTGTCCAGAAAACTGAGAAGTTAAGTGACTTGCCCAGGGTTACACAGGCAATATGTTTCCGAGGCAGAATGTAAATACCAGACTTTAGATTTAAAAACAGCACTCCACCTACTGTGTTCCACTGCCTGTATACAACGATATACAAATCATGTATAAAGTGGTCAGGATGTGAAGACACCAGCAGTTTTGTTGTCTTTTTTTTTTTTTTTTTTTGGCTAGGCAATGGGGTTAAGTGACTTGCCCAGGGTCACGCAGCTAGTGAGTGTTATGTGTCTGAGGCCGGATTTGAACTCACGTCCTCCTGACTCCAGGGCAGGTACTCTATCCACTGCGCCACCTAGCTGCCCGTACCAGCAGTTTTTGAGAATGAGGAAAGGTTCATATACAACAAGGCAATGCTTGAGTGGTGCCTGGATTTCATGAGGCAGAGTAAGCAGGAGCACATCCAGGGAGGGGGATGGTCAGTGCAAAGGCATGAGGACAGGATGAAGTGCTGTGTGTGAGAGATAAAGAAAAGGACGGTGAGACTGGACCTTGGTTTGTGGCAAAAGAAATAATGCAGAACAAGGATGGAAAGACCGACTGGGGCCAGGTGCTGGAGGGTTTTAAAAATGATACAGTTTATGATTTTATCCTTAAGGCAAGGAGCCCACAGAGTTCATTGAGCAGGAGAATGCCATACTTAGATTTGGAATTAAGAGAATATCCCTCTGGCAGCTGTGTAAGGAGACCAGATTGGAATGGGAACAGAATCTAGGCCGAGAGACCAATTAAGAGGCTGTTACAACAGTCTATGGAAGAGGTAAAGAGGCAAGTATTGATCTTTTAGACATGTTGTGGAAACAGAACGCCAAGAAGTGGCTGAACACTGGATGTGTTGGGCAACAGAGAGCCCTCAACACCAAGGAAATGAACCTGGAGCACTTGACAAAAATAGGGACATTTTAGGAGGGAAGACAATGAGTTGTTTTGGACATGCTGAGTTGGGAGATATCACCAGGGCAGCTGGTTTGAAGCTCAGGAGAGAAAATGGGGCTAGATAAATAGATCTGGGAGTCTTCTGTATTGAGAAGATAGGAGTAGATACTGATAAAAATAGAGGGCCCCACAGAACCTTGGGGGCTGCTCACAGTCGAAGTATTAGGAATTTGGATCATGAGGCAGGAGACAGAAAGGAGAACAATCACTCAATGCAGAGAGAAGATCCATTCAGGAGCTGGTGGTAGCCAACAGTGTCAAATGGAGCACCAAAGTCACAAAGAGTTGAGAAAAGCTCTTCAGATTAACAATTAAGAGATTACTGGTTAACTCTGGAGGGACAAATTTCAGTTGAAGTGATAAGGTTGAAACACAGAGGTTTCAAAGGATTGAAGATTAAGTAGCAGGAGGAAGAAATGACTGTAAATAGTCTTTGTCAGAGAAAGGTAGAAGAGATATAGGACGACGACTTGAGAGCATGGCAGAGTTTAATGAAATGTTTGTGAAGATGGAGGAGACCTGGGTATGCCTGAAGACTACAGGAAAGAATCAGTACATAAGGAGAGAAGGTTAGAAAGAATAAAGGGACAACCAAAGGGACAATCTAGTAGATATGGGAAGGCATAGGATATTAAGAACATATGCAGAGTCTTCAGAAGGAGAAAGGACATATCTTTATCAGAAACTAACTCAAATAAGACTAAAAAGATAAATAAAAGTAAATATTTCTGATTCTTTTTCAAGTTTTTTTACCAGGCTATTTGGTCAAGGATAAGGAACATGGTGTTGTGGAAAAAGCACTAGGCTTGGGGTCAGAATATTCAGGTTTTGGTTGAGGTATTTACATATATCAGCAGTGGAAAGCTGATTATGAGCCTTACCTGAAAATGGAGACACTACTACTTTCACTACCTCACAAACCTGCTGTGAGCAAAATGGGCTTTATACACCAGAAAATGAAAGTCAAAATATCATCTATTATTATTGTTAGTGGGTGGATGTTAATTTTTAAAAGTCATCCTGGACAAGTGTTCAAAGAGTTTTCTTCTGAAAAGAGCACAGTACCACCTATTGGTTAAATTGTATAACTACTTTAGGAATGAGTGAAGATACTCAGGAGAGCCATCTAGTGGGAAACGCAACTAGTGTGATGAATAAGAATCAAAACATAACTTGCATGAGCATACTGTACAAAGTTACACTGTTATATTAAGATGTTTAACACCTATTCAGAAAAAGAGAACCATACTGGCATTCTTTTTATTTCCAAGCAGATGGTAAAATACAACACAAAAACCAATTCCTAATCAACTTCCTAATATTTGTTCATTCACTCATTCACTGACGTATTTACTATGTGTAAAGCACTAAGCTAGACAATGCTAATACAAAGACAAAATAAAAAAGACCCTACCCTCAAGTAGGGCAAGTACATTCTCTTGGAGGAAAACAATATGTATACAAATAATAAATACACACACTCACATCGATCTATCTATCTACACACACACATACACACACACAGAGCACAAGGTTATTTTCCAGGGACTATGAGAGTGGGTAGGAAAAGCCCTTATGTAAAAAGTGGCACTTGCCCTCTGAAGGGGGTAAGGGACTCAGTGAGGAGGAGGTAAAGAGCAGGTACCTTCCAGGCACGGGGAATTGCTTAAGCCAAGTCACAGAGATAAGAGATGTAAGAGAGAACACAATTAGGCAGGTTTAACTGGAGACTTCATGAAGGAGTAAAGCTGTTCAGAAAGCCTGGAATTACTAAACTGCAGCAAGGTTGTCAAGTCCTTTAAAAGCCAAAAAGAGGAGCTGATATCTACCTAAGAGGGAAGAGCTTCTTGAGCACGGGAATGACACGATCAGACCTGTGCTTCAGGAATATGAATTTGGCAACTGTATGGAAGATGGAATGGAAAAGGGACAGACCAGGTGCAGGCACACTAATTAGGAAGCTATTACAATAGTATAGGAGAGAGGTAATCAGGACCTAAACTGACTGGATTATAGGGTTGAGAAAATGAGATAAAGAGAGAATGACTGTGATTGTAAGCCTGGGTATGTAGCAAGAGGGTGAGGCTCTTTGAGCCTCTTTCAGTAGTTCGAAGAGGGAAAGGTTTTGATAAGAAAATAATTAATCCTATTTTGGAAACACAGAGTTTGAGATGCCTAAAGATTGGACTTCATGGTAGAGACTGGGACTGGATATATAGATCTGAGAGTCATTTACAACTGAACATGGGAGGAGAAAGGGAAGAGGGGAGAGAGTGAGAGGAAAGGAAAGGAGGTGGTATCTACAGAGGGAGAGAAAGGAGGGATGAAGAAAGGGAGAAGGGGAGAGAGACAGGAAGAGGGGGAGAGAGATGGAGAGTAGGGAGACAAGGAAAAAGAGGGAGGGGAAAGGAGGGGTAGTAGTTGGGGGAGACACAAAGACAGAGAACACGGTACCCAGGACAGACCTACTGGGTACATTCAAAATATTCAATATTGACTGGTGTAAATAGTATACTCATTGATTATCTTTTCTGTTCCATTATTCAAGTCATTCAAATATCATACATCTGACCAAGAATAAAACATCATCAATTGTCTGTGAGTTAGCTACAATGAACTAATAATAGTTTTAAGGTTTCCAGTTTATTGATAAACACCAGACACAATGTCCCTCAATTGTAATTTTGTCTCATAGGAGATTACTTTGTATGAAGTTTGTAGTGTGGTAAAATTTAATGATTATTATTGTATTTAAATACAGGTTGTTGCTTTCAATATTTTTTGCATATATGTAGAATTTAAATTGACTGATTTTTAAATTCTAGTCCCTGAACTCTCAAAATTAATAGCTAATGGAAAAATAAGATCATAGGATTAAAAGCCAGAAGGGAACTCAGAGATCATTGAGTTCAATCCCTCAACTTTCAGATAAGGAACCTGAGGCCCAGAGAGGATCAATCTGACATAGGCAGTAAGAACTAAGATTTAGGGGGCAGCTAGGTGGCACAATGAATAGAGCACCGGCCCTGGATTCAGGGAGACCTGAGTTCAAATGCAGCCTCAGACATATAACACTTACTAGCTGTGTGACCCTGGGCAAGTCACTTAACCCCACTGCCCAGCCCCCTCCCCCCCAAAAAGAACTAAGATTTAGGATTTGAACAAGTCTTTAAATACCAAATCCAATGTCTACTGTTTCCTAAGTATAAGAATTCAACTCATCTGGATCTGTACATATGAATACACCATAAAAAATTTTCACTACATATTCACCTAGTCTAGTTGAGTTTTCTGTCTTTCAACCCCAAGCTACACTGTGTGGAGACTGCTAGTATACGGCTCATAATTTAGTTAGACTGCTCTAAAAGTACTCTAATACTGATTAGCACTGTTTTTTTTTTTTAATCATTCAAGTAACATACCTGTAAATGAAGATGACTGAGAATGTATGGAGCCCTTATTAAGCATAGTCATTATCTGGCCAACAAAATCCTTGGGAATAAAATTAGCATATGGCAGTATCTCTGTGCTGATGAGTTGAACCACCTAAAACAAATTAAACACATTTAAATGTGTTTTTTCCCTGAAAGTGAATGACTTTTACTCTTTTTACTTTCTCTCTATTTGTACACACACCCACACCCACACACAGTCTTAAAAGGGAGTCACAGAACCCTCAATGGCATAAATGTTCTTCATGTACAACATAAGTAGCATGACCATAAATGACAATGATTATTAGTCTAGTTGTCTGTTACAAATCTATTAGAAAACTGCTATATTATAATACTGTTGATGAAGTAAATACTCATCTCCAAAGGCATGAAGGGGCTATAATGGAAAACTATCCAATATATTTAACAACTTTCTACAATATGATTATGGGAGACACAAAAATTATGGCCAATATCTATTACATGATTTTCACAAAAAGCCTGGAGAAAATGAGGATGTATTAAGTAATAAGAGAAAGGCCACCATGGACAGAGTATGTGATGGAGCATTGGAAGCTCTGAGTTTGAATCCTGATCCTGCCTTTTGGACCATGGGCAAGTCATGACCTCTGTGAGTTTCAATTTTCTCTTCTACAAAATGGAGACAATATTATTTATTCTACCTTTGTTACTGGATAGCTGTGAGAATTAAATATGACAATGCATATAAAGAATTTTTAAAACTAATGCTACATAAATCTGAGCTATTATTATTTTTAAAAAGCATTATCACATGCATTTAGTGTTCCTTTAACTTCTTGAAGCTGAAATTTTAATACAATTATGACACGTAAGGCACTATCTTCTTTTAAAACACAGTTACAATGACAGCCACTGCATTTTAAAATGGATGATCTAAAATTGATTTCTCCCATTCATTTTATTTAAAAGCAAAAAAACTCAAGCATTCTATAAACTTCTAGAGAATATTTACTATTTACTTAAAAACTCTGGTAAACTGTGTCTATGGGATCAACATCAATAGACTAAAGAAATAAAACTTCATCCAACTGTTTTGTTACCATTAAAAACAACTAGTTAATGGTACTGCCAGGTAACAATAAAGCAAATGATTAGCCTTCAATAAGTAATTATCAAATAAGATAACATATGCAAAATATTTTGTGACCAGGACCATGCTCAAAGATGAGGCTAGGGTGCAAGGCCCTTTTGCTTCAAAGACTGATAGGGGACATGGGGCATTGCACAATCTCTCTGTGCCCTCAGGTAACTCTCTAATATTAAGTCACTGTTGCTGACTTGTCTCACTAAAGGGAGTTTCCTATCTAGGAGCTCCTAAAGCAGATGAAATCACAGGTCCAGTCCAAAATGAAAACAAACAAAAATTCAATTCCAAAACACAAAACACAAACATTTTCAAAAGCATTATACAATGTGACTTATTAGTATTCAGTCATCATGCAAACTTTGACAGACTATTAGAAATAATAAAGGAAGCAGGTTTTGCTAAATTCATTGAAAAATAAGTTTTAACTGTCACCTTAATTTACTCTTAGATAATTCTGGAGTTTAAACAATTCTCTTGCATGATTCAACATGAAGCCATATAAAAGCATTTATGAGAAACTACTTACCTCAACATCAATATTTTCATTTCTTTGAAATTCTTGAATAGAAAGATTATCTGGAGGTATACTAAAAAAACAAAAAACAAAAGCTTTTTAAAAGAAAATACAAACTCTGAGAATTAAATTGGAAAAGTCACTATGTAATAAAATATTTAAATAAAGAAGATTCTAAGAAAAATACTGGGAAAAAAATTTTCCCTATGCTAGGATATTCTTGGAGTATATAATCTATAATATTAAACCTCATTTAATAAAAATGAGTTTAAATGAAAAGCTACTGAGAGATTCTTTCTATAAATCTTGGGCCCAAGCTTAATTTGATTAAATTTATAAAGCTACAAATAATATTCTGTTTTCAAGAATATTGAAAGGTATAGATAAATTTAAGTGGTTATTCATACAGGCATTGATGAAAGTTTTTATTGCCAAAATCATGAGGTGTTTGTTTTGACACTGATGATATCCCCCAATACAAGGTGTAAACACTCCAGAGCAGAAACCCAAAGCTACTCAGTCATGGTCTTGCTGCCACCCCCTCAGCCACCTCTTCAAACCCAAAATGTCAGTAGTCGTAGAGAAGCATAAGTAGAATGAGAGAGGAGTTCCTGGGCAGTACCAAATTCCTGGAGGAAACAGGAATTTCTGGTACTAAGTAGAAGCTGAGGAATAGCAAGAATACAGCTCTTAATGATGTCGAGACAAAAATCAAACCTTGCCCTTCACTCTCACTGAGTTATATGGGAAAAGAAGGCTCTCTAATGAACTCAACTTCCCACACACCCCTGTTTTTGAGGAAAGTGCAACTAGGGAATAAGATGGTAAGTCTGAAGACAACCATATAGTTCTCGGGGAAGTTATGGCTAACCAAGAGGGATGAACTTATAATCAACTTTGAATCACTTCCCCTTGTGGGCAGGGTAGTGGTGGTGGTGGTAAGCCCTTCTCCCCCACCCTAGGCTGGTGTTATGAGCTTACAGGACTGTATAGGTCCAGGAAGGGGAGAAGGGGCCCACTGGGGAGGGAAAAATTGCCTTGGATTGTCTTATGACTTTGGATGAGCATCCTTTCTGTTCTGTGACTTTGGCTGGTTTCACAGAACCCTGAGCTTCAGAGGCTATCTAGACCAACCCATACCAGGACAAAAGCCCTTACTATAAACCTAACAAGTATTATTCCACTCCATTTGAGACCACCAACGTGGAGGAAGCAAAAACTTCACAAGACAGCCTACTCCACTTTTGGACAACTCTAATTGGTTGGAAGTTTTTCCTTACAAGTTAAGTTGAGGCTACCCAATATCTGATATCTTAGCCTTAGCTAAGTACTGATGTATTCTAAGCCTTAGTTTAGGTGGATGTGCGGCAGCTGAATGCTTTTTTACACATTCTGTAGCAACCTAGACACAAGTTATATGGTCTGATTTTCTCAAGGGAAAACCAGGGTAGAAGCACAAGCCAAAAAGAATGATATGTGAGAATCACTTAAATCAGTCCTTATAAACCCATGGCTGTAGTTCTGGGCCATGGGCTATATCAATAAAAATGAACAACCTGTCAAATCAGCTGCTGAGACAGACATAATATCATTAGCCTCCACTCCTAAAGATGGAGCAGTCAGAAAGAAGACTCCAAGCTATTTCCAAAGAGAAGTTTTATTCTCAAGAGATCAGAGATGACTGGAAGCTCTGAGAATCACAGAAAAAAATCCAGATAACTATAAAGTATTGAACAATTAAGAAATACAGTGGGTTATCGATGCAGTGCTGATATGAAAAATAAATACACAAACTTTGCTTTTAAAGCTCAAAGAATAGGACAAGCAGAGACAGGAAAGAGATTTGTTATCATAGTCAATGTGAAGCAGAACACATCTGTCTGTATTTAAGGATTTTTTTTGCTGTTTTACTTTTTTTTTTTTTGCTTTATTTATCTTTGAGAAGTAAATTAATCATTATTAGAAAAGGCCAATGAAGACCTGGAATGAAGTCCCTTGTTTTATGGATAAGGAAATGAAGCCCAGAAGAGTCTAACAAACCATGCTTTGTGGCAGCAAATTACTGCTACGGCAATACAAGGTATAGAGAACTAGACCCTTCCCTCTCCTGATTCCCTCCAATTTATCTTGTCCAGTATCTCATGGATTCATAGTTGTAGCATGCTGTCTCCTCCATTAGACTATGAACTCCCTAAGAGCCAGGACTAATTTTGCCTTTCTTTATAGCCGCATCACTTAAGCACAAGATCTGGCACCTGGGAGGCACTAAATAAATGATTGGTGACTCCTGGATACAAGTCCTCACATGACAGAATTTCACCACGTAAAACAAAGGAGAGTACAGAAGATATCTAAGGATTGATGGGAGGGGGCCACCAGAGTTATCAGAGATTAGTCAAAACTCAGCCGTTAGCAAATCTAGACTTTAAACATTTCCTCTCCCTGGATAGCCCAGCTTGTTATAGATTCCAGATTATCTTAGCTCAGAAAACAAAGAACTTCAAAATGTATACAAACGTATAAATACATGCATATGATATTCTTTCCTAGGGTCAGATAACTAACTTTCCTTATACTTGGACAACATTTTGAGGCCTGTTTCCTTACTTATAAAATAAAGACACTGAAATACACTGGAGGAAATACACTGGCTCTGGAGTTAGAGGGCCTGGGTTCAAATCATGCCTTTTCTTGCTTACTCCTTTTGTCACCTTGGGTAAGTCCCTTAACCTCCCTCAGCCTCAGTTTCCTCATCTGAAAAATGAGGTTACTGGATGAAAGGACCTCTAAGATCCCTTCAAGTGTTGAATTACAACTCTAGGACTCCAGCGGCCAAACACAAGTCTACCTCCTTCATCTTTTCATGAACTCTTTTATCTTTCTTGGAAGGAAAAAATCATGGTTCTTTAATCACTAACCTTTTATATCTAGGGCTATACCGATTTATATCTCATGTCAACACAGCCTATAGAATAAAACGTCAAAAAGATAATTTACTATATAATAAATCACATGTCCAATTAATAGAGGCAGCTAGGTGGTACAATAGAGCGTTGGGTCTGGAGTCCAGAAGATCTGAGTTCAAATCCAGCCTTAGACACTTACTACTGTGACCCTGGGCAAGTCACTTAACCCTGTTTACCTCTGTTTCCTCATCTGTAATATGAGCTGGAGAAGGAAATGGCAACTCACTCCAGTACTTTTGTCAAGAAAACCCCAAATGATGTCACAAAGAGTCAGATATGACTGAAAAAAACTGAACAACATCCAATTAATAAATAACTTATCTAATCCTGTTTTGAGAGTGCTCACGGAGTATTCCTGATGAATAAAATACAAATAGGTCCTTAGAAAACCAGCTGGAGATATAATACTTTGCTATTTTTTTTAAGTTTCTAACTAAAAATTAATGAGCTAACCTTTTAGTGAATAAAAAGTCTTCAAATGTGCTGGCTAGTTCTGGCCACATACTGTCAAATTTCCCAGAAGAAGCATGCTGTCTTGCAACAGGCAGTCCAATAGACAGAACTTTGAGCAGAGAAGATACTGCCAACTTCCAGGTGGTTTCAGAAGGGCAGGCATACTTCAAACTAAGAGGTATCCTAAGAGTCTATTAAAAAAAAAGATTACATTGAAAATCAATTATTGCAAAAATCTATAAAAAGAATTGCTTACAGAGTTTTTCATCATGAGAATTTTTTTTGAATATTTTTAATATTTTACACGTAAATGGGCGACAGTATTATATTTGCATTGTACCAAACCTTCAATTCACCAAAAAGATATGATCCTGAAAGCTCATTTCTGTAGGGCAGAAGTAGTCTTCATTTCACCTATTACCTCAGTCTATACCTCACCCTGTTGTTGTTTAGCCCACAAAACATGTCCTCTGAAATGAATCACTGGCCTGGACACTGAAACGTAAGAGAGTCAACCTCTCCAGGAATGAATCAGATTTTCAATAGGAAGTGACAAAAGGTAGTAACTTTTTCTGCAACAGACTAACCAAATAAATAGTGGAAATTGACAAGAACTTTATAACTCATCATGAACGACTTGAGTTCTCTACATTTTTACTTTTCTCTTCTTCTTCTTCTTCTCTCTGCACTCCTCTCCCAATGGGATACAGGTACCTCTACCTATCTGTTAAGTGTGAAGAATGAAGGAAGGATTATATCTTTCCCCTGAATGTAATTCTTTTTCCTTATCTTCACGCTTTTTCATCTCTTAAGATCTTGTTAACCCTATCTCTATTACTTAACTGGCTGTAATATAAATCAAGGGTATTTAAGGGGGAGGGAACCCCCATTTTATTCTGAAATTAATAAAACCAACTGAACTGATATTCAGTACCCTGTACAATTAGAAAAAAACTAATTCAAATATACAAAAATACATAACATCTGATATTTCTTCTGTGTCGCCTTCTGTGTTATTTTTGTTCCTTTACCCTAATATTTGTGTATAAAATTTTACTATTCACACTATGTATTTATATATGTGTATGTGTGTATATATATATATATACACACATATAAAATATATATATATACATATATACATATATACATATACACACACACACACACATATATATACATACATGTACACACATATAAAATATATGTTCCAGTTGGGCTCTCATTGCATTATTTCATAAATTTTTCCCCAAAATTTCTTTACACTACTGATATTTGCCACTTAATAGCACAACATCCCATTATGTCATATATATGTATGTGTATATGTATATATACACACACACACAAACATATGAGAGAGAGGGGGAGACAGACAGTGTGTGTTGGGTTTTTTGGGGTCATTTCTCAACTGTTGGAAACTCAGGTTGCTTCCAAGTATTTGGTAATTAATAATAATGCTACCTACAATCAGTGTATCAGGACAGAAAACTTATTTCTACTTTTTTATTAATAAAAAATTCATAGTCCTAATTGTGGGATTACTGGATCAATGGGTATGATTAATTTAAAAATATTTAGTGTATTACAAAACTGTTAACCAAAAAGATCCCAATGTTCAAGTCAACCAGCAATATATAATTGTGCCCACTTCTCCACAGTGATACCAACACTGGTTTTGATATGGTCCATTACATTGTTTTAATTTGTATTTCTCTGATAAGTGAAGATGAACATTTTTTCAAATGACAACATATGTATCCTTGTTCATAAATTACCTTTCCATATCATTTGCTCATTTATCTGTGGGGAAAAGGGTATTTATTTTTAATTCTTTGAATTCTCCTGATAAATTGTAAATATTTTTATATCATATGCATCTTTCATCATAAATTTTAGATGTTATTCAATGTTTCATTGTTTTGTAGAATTGCCCACAACTTTTCGAAGGCTATGCCAATACAGTTAAACTCTGGTGGGTTCTGCCATTAAACCAAGTTTGCTTTCTGAGGACCAAGCTAGTTACATAAAGAGAGACTCATTACCAGTAGGCTGGCCACGCAGCTGTGGTAATCCAAGAAACAAAGAAAAAGATAAAATGACTCAATCATGTGTAGCCCTTTAACAATTTTTTTTCTTTTTTATTATCAACTTGACAAACATCAACAGACATTAACATTTCAAGATAGAGAATAGAATAGAAAATAGAAAATAAATAATCTCTACAAAACTGAATTTCTACCACAATTGACTTTTTAAGAGTACATGAAATTCAAAACAATAGTAACAAAACTCCCCTGTTTATAGTTCCTTCTATTCTTTTCTATGTATTTATTAGATCTATTGATATTCTTTTGTTTCTTTACATTTTTATTTCTGCATCAATATCATTAGCATTCCATGGTTTTAGTATGTTATCTAAAAACAACAAAAAATATCATTTCTTGGAACATTTGATGACCTTATATTGCAGTACTCATGATAAGAATTTACAAAAGGACCAACGTGAAAATAACTGCTTGCTTCTGTACCAAAATCTGCTACACAAGATGAGGAAGTAGAGAAATTCTAGAAAGAACTTAGTATCTTCTATATCAAATCAACATACTAAATAAAATGCTTGGTGATTTCAAGGCAAAAAGTACATGAGAGATGATGAAAAAAAAAAAATATATATATATACTGAAAAATATGGTTCAGGAATAAGAAAGAAGAGTCCAAAGGATTGGAGACTGTATAGGGGTTTCTCACATAACGCTATGAATTTTCTTTGAGAAAAGAGCAGGAGACACTGGGTATGGAAAACAAACCAACAATCATGAAGCACTTATTAGGCACTATATGTCAAATACTGTGCTTAATGTTGAGGATACAAAGAAAAATCAAGAACAGTTGAAGGAGCTTAATTCTAATTGTGGTGATATAAATAGGTAAATATAAAATACATACAAAGTAGATACTGGATAAGTTTAGAGGGAAAGCACCAAATGACAGCAGGGGGAAAAGAAACTGATTATATTTTAATAAACAGTAAACAACTGCTTAATAATATGAAAGTCATTTCTTATTCAGTGATCTATGTGATGTCGAATCACTGCTTAGGGTAAATACAAAAATCAATACCAAACTAGAAGAATAAAAATGAAAAATACAGCATGCGTTCAAAATAACTCCAATCTGACCTATTTAGAAAAGCTATTATCACCCAAGAGGAAAGAGATAAAAGAATAGACATAAAAAAATACCATTTCCTTAAGGAAGTTCAAACAATGTAAATCAACTGGCACGAGAGACCAAAAAAGCCTATGGAACAACTTTACAGCTAGTAAACAATTTACAGAAATAAGGCAGCCAAGGATAATATACCTCTAGAATTTAAAGTCCTTTATATCCTACAGAGGAGAATGATGAAAGATGATGAACCTCATAAAATAGCAACATGTTCAAAGAAGGCTCAGTGAGTGACCCAAATAAACAGTTAGCTAAAAGGCATTTAAGGTTTATAGAGCATTGACAATAAATAAATGAAGAACAGAAAAGATCTGTAAAGCAATTGCAATAATTCAGGTGAGAACCTGAGTTAGTGTGGCAGACCTATAAGCAGAGAGAAAGGGATAGATTTAAGAGAGGTTGTGGTGGAAAAAGAGGTAATATTTGGCAACTGAATGGATGTGTCAGGAGAGGAAGGTTAAGGAATCAAAGAGGACTAGGGTGATGGTAGGATGCTCAATAGAAAAGAGGAGGTGCCTAAATAAACTGAGTTTTGGGGTAAGATGAGTTCAGTTTTAGACTGACTGAGTTTGAGATGCCAAATAAATCCAATGTGAAATATCCAATAGGCAGTTGGGAGTATAGAACTAGAGCTTGGGCCAATATAAATATCTAAGAACCACCTACACAAAGATGGTAACTAAACTCATGGGAGCTAATGAGTTCACTGAGAGAGTTTAGAGAGAAATGAGGACAGCCTATGGCAGAACTCTGAGTTACACCAACGGACTGGAGATGAAACACGGACAATAATCTAGCAAATAAGATTAAGGAGGCGGCATCAGAGAAGTAGGAAAAGCAAGAGCATTATCACTCCCCAAAATTTTTCAGCCAGAAAAACAAGCAAAAACAAAAACCAGAGAGGAGAAAATTTCAGGAGACCATAGACAACAATGTCAAATGCTGCAGAGAGGACAAAAAGGATGAGGCTTGAGAAAGGATACCAAAACCGGCATCTAAGAGTTCACTGGTAACTTGGGAAACAGCTGTTTCAGTTGAGTGATGAAAGTGGCAGATTGCAAAAGTTGAGAAGTAGTGGCAATGAATGGGAGCAGACAGTTTTTTATAGTTTAGCTATGAAAGGGAGAAGAATGTAAACACAGACACATATGTGCAATATATATGGGGAAGATTTTTTTACTTTTTTTTTTAGAGTGGATCCACATATTTTGCTTGTATTTCTATATAAAACTGGTTATTAAATAATATCCAGTTCTACAAAGAAACCTACCGATATGATTGTGATATCAGTATGAGTGATCTACTCAAGACTGACTGCAGCTAAGTGGCTCAGTTGATAGAGTGCTGGGCCTGGAGTCGGGAACACCCAAATTCAAATCTGGTCTCAGACACTTACTAGCTATGTGACCCTGGGAGAGTCACTTAAACTCTATTTGCCTTAATCCACTGGAGAAGGAAATGGCAAACCACTCCGGTATCTTTGCCAAGAAAACCCCATGGACAGTATGGTCCATGGGGTCATAAAGAGCTGGACATGACTGAACAACAGCAATGATTCAAGAATGAAGACTTATTCATGCTTTATCATATGTCCTTCCATTAAATCCTACAAAAAACATTGGATCAATGTGGTAAAGGCCTTTCTGAAATTCTTTTAACACAAAATGGTGTCCAGTGCAGCACTGAAGAATGCCCATGCTCAGTCTTCATTTTGTAACTTGACTAGCCCATCATCTTTTCTACTCACACATTTCCTAGATATCCCTTATTCTATTTCTTGAAGCAAAGTGGATGTTAATAATATTCTGCAGCATATTTATGCCCACAAAATTCTTCTCCACTGTCCTTTAAGTTACCTATGATTTATATTTGGAAACTGGTATTCTATGATCTACTGTCATACTGCATTACCTTCAGACTATTGGTGTTATTATATGTAACAGAAATTCACAATTTCTGATTTAATCTTCTTCCCTTTCCAATGTTAATTTGAGAGGTTTTACTTGTTGACGATTGTTAAGTTTACAAAAAAAAAAAAAACACTGATGTTAAATGAGGATTTTGTTTCAGAGAACAGATTGGGATCACTGAACAATAGGTATTCATCCACTGGTTTTTCTTCCTGTGTGGATTGTGAAGTCAAAGATTTTTGAGTGACTGTGGATTTAATTTAGGAGGTTTGGAGGATTCTGGGGTCAAATGCAATCAGCAAAAAATCATCACCAAAGAGTATCTTGAAGACCACACTGTCTATATAGAATCCTTCCTCCATCTGATTCTCTACACTTATTATCCATAAAAATGGAAAACACTTTGGTGAGCATACATCTCTCTGTTTTAATGTCTCAACTAAGACTGATAATTCAATGGTTAAAGTTACCATAGTTGCTGACTCTATCAACGAATCTTGTATGAGCTTAATGTACACAGAAAACATAACTTTTTGGAGGACAGCACTTAAAGCTGAGGTCTCCTCTACTGTAGTAAATGGTTTATCAACCATTAACAATAAGCATGGAGTGAATTTTTATTCTTTATGTTTTTTCAGTCAATTGTGATACTTTAAAATACCATTTCCAAAAGTCTGTTTCCTTCTCACATTTTCACAAAGATATTTCTATACACTTATAAATCAGTTTCAAAACAGTTTTACAGATGTAAGAAAATAGGCATATATAGGTAGTTAGTAATGACTTTGCCTTTTTCAATAATAACACTATGCTTTTTTTTTTTACTAACTGTTCTAATTCAGTTGCTCTCATATCTTTATCTTTTTTAGTTCTATTTTGACTTTCTTATGTAACACAACAGGAACAGATCTTAGATCCTAAATATATATGATCCACTGTCACTGATGAAAATTTTTAAAGAACTGATGATAAGATCAGGTCCATTTTATTCCTTCTTACAATTTCATCTTTAAATGACCCTGTTATAATATTTGAATACCTGGGTCTCACACCAAGTTAGTGTAAACACTCACTGGTCTGCTTCAGGTTATTCTTCCTTACCTTTTCTTTTCTTGCACTGTGATTCACAGAGGTTTTATCTCTTCTTCTGAGATAATCTATTTATCTATTTCTTAGTAATTGGTTTTCATCATTACAATTTTGTGAAAACTTCACTTAAATTCTATAATTGACCAGTTTACAGCTATATATAACATTCCTTGATCATATTCCTAATTAAATATAATCATAGAACCTAAGAATTGGAAAACATCTTATACCACACCTAATCCAGGGGTTCTTAATCTTTTGTGTCATGGAACTCTTTGGCAGGCTGGTGAAGACTATGGACCATTCTCATTTTCTGAAAAGGTGGCACAAGAAGCTGATGACCTCTTTTCATCTTGTAAAATCCCTCTGTCCCTAGGGCTCCTTCCTCTGATCAGTCAGTTCCTCCTGGAACCTCCATTTTAAGGACATGTTCTCTCCTTCATTCCTCTCCAGGTTCTGCTCCTTACTCCCTGGAATTCTTTCTCTACCATCTCCTCGGTCTCTAAGTATCTTCTTTCCTCCTCCCTTTCTAGCTCCCTTTTAATATGTTATCTTCTCTCATTAGAACAGTAAGCTCCTTGAGGGCAGGTACTGTCTTTCTTTTTGCTTCTCTTTGTATTCCCAGCTCTTAACACATAAGTACATATTAAGCACTTAATAAAGACTTGTTATATAGAGGTCAAATAACTACAGAAAGTGGTAATCCAATGACAGAGAGAATACCATCTCCTGGGGAAGCCATTTTACTTTTCAAAAATTCTGTTAGGAAATTTTTCCTTACAGAAAACCTAAATCTGCCTTTCTGTAGCTGAAACCCATTACTCTAAGTCAGGGGTGGAAAACCTGCAGCCTCGAGGCCACATGTGGCCTTTTGACTATATCCAAACTTCACAGAACAAATCCTCCTAATAAAAGGAATGAAGAACCTACTAAATTAGCATAATGGACCTCTATAATTGGACAACTGGCTTGGCACCTTACTTCTTTTTGGTCCTTATATTATACTGCTATTGGGTCCATTTACACTTAGAAGAAATAGTTAAACCTCACTCTACTTTTTCATTCAGATATTCTTGAATTAAATCGGAAGTTAAGCATAGCAGACTGACCAAATCTGAAATATTTAACACCAAAAAACATTATTAAGGATGATTTAAATTATAGAACCTTCAAGTCAACAAATAAGCTGGATCTTTTTAACCTCAGAAAAGTAAGTTTTAGTTTTAACATAGTTTTAATATCCAACCAGTTCAATTCGAGTAGCACAGAGTGTGGATATGAGTTATTCTTTTACCTGAGAGCAAAGAGGGTTTCTCAAGTTTATTAATTTCTTTAATAGAATAAAATATTAAAGTTTCATAATGCTGTCATGTTTTGTTATAATTTAGTAGCATTATGATTTCTTATTCATTCACTTATTTATTTGTTACGTGTGGGATATATGGATGTTGCTTCTGCAACATTAATAATCACTTAATCACAGTTTGAAGTCAGAGAAATAGTTTTTTTTAATTATTATTATTTCCACTAAAAAACCAAGTGGAAACCTTAAGGAATACAGTCTGGGGGCTAGATGAAGTTGAACAAAAGGGGGTTATATTAGAATAAGAAAACACTGTTGGTGGTGAATAGACTAACCAAGGGGAAAACCAGTTCTGAGGTTAACATAAAAAGGAGTGTTCCCAAGCAAGGGCCTGAGCCACAGAATTGTGGGGAATGGGAGATGTAATTAGGGGTGGAGATTCACATGGGGAAATTAGGCCCTTCAGATAGGCTATAACCTCTATAGTACCCAGCAAATGGGGAAACAGGAGAAGGAAATTTGAATAGAGAATAAAAAGATATGCATTTGTCAATACACTGCTCTCACATGTGTGTTCTTACACACACCTTCCCAGTTCGTTAATAAAGCTTCTTCCTGATTCAACAATGGCTTCATGGAATTTGTAATAGTGATATAGATAACATGTACAAGGCACTGTGTTGAGCGTCTTGTGGGTTACAAAAGCATGCACGACTTATGAACTGAAATAACTTATAATGCAGTATGAAAGAATTTATTAGTCTAGTAGTTGCCTCTACTTGGCATTAAAAATTTTTAAACAGAAAAAGTACAAACCATTATATTAAATTCTACTCCATGTCAATTCCTTAATTCACTGGGTTTTTTGTTGTTTGTTGATTAAAATTCTTTACAACACCATTTAAATACATATTTTTTTATTTGGACAGGACTTGTGGTTTCATAGGTGTGGGAAATATCTGTTGAGGAAACTCCTTCTACCAATGCAGAAGACAAAATATTGTACTATTTAGATTCTTAGAGATTTGACTGTGTAGCACTTAAGTGACTTATGTCAGAGTTGGCAGTTGAATCTAGATTGTCCTGAAGTCAGGCCTTAATCCATCATGTCATGAGCAGTTAATATTTTGAATAAAAGGTTTTTCTAGTTTGACAGAGGTTGAAACAAACTTAACAAGGAAGAAAGTGAAATGTATAACACAAAGAAATTTATTCTTTTATACATTTGGTGAATGAACATAATCTCCTACTAGGCAAGGAAATAAATTTTATCTAGAAATGTTTTTTGTAAAAGCATTACATTGATATATTTTTGGTTTTAGTGCAGATTTGGGAAGAAAAATTAAGTTAAAAATGGAGATGATGTGTTTCAAGAATTTGGGTCTATATTTTTGTGAATATTTTTCTCTTTGAAAAGATCTAAGAAAAAAATTTCCAACACATGATTGTATTTAAATAAATCAAGATTTTACAACATAATTTGTCATTGACTGAATCTTGCTCAAAACTTCTGAAAAGCAAATTCACCAAACCAACAAGTTAATTTTACGTAAAACTGCCTTTATAAGCAATATTAGCTAGAATGACCTATAGAATCAATGAATGATTTCAAAAATCAAGTACAAATAAAATGATAAAAATTACCTTTATAACATTCTGAAGCACTTTCTCATTCACTACAGCTTTGTGACAAGCTGTTTTTTGGTATAAATCCACCACCACTTCTAAAGATCTCTCTGCAAATGGTACATAATTCAAGGCTACCCATTCTGCCTAGAAAACAATATTTTAATATGAGTAAACAAACAGAGAATAGATTAAAAATCACAGGTTTTCCAAAGAGCAAAACTGTTATAGACCTCAAGTCTTGGTTTTATGTCAGATTGCCACCTTAATGCATGCAAGTTTTTCCAAAGAATGGATTTAATATAACCCAGGCAAAAATAAAACAATTTTGAAAAAACCCAAAAAATTTAAAGTTTTCAGCATTTGATGGGGACTTGGAGATGTGCTTTATTAGCTAAAATGTCAAAACTTTCCGCCTAATAGGTTAGGACAATTTTTAAGGAAATTTAACTCACCGGTGCAAATAGTTGGATCTATTGTGATTCCATTGTGTTGCAGAACAAATAGAATGAGAAAAGTTAATACATATGTTAAAAACTATCTTTCAAAAACTATGTAAAATTTTACTGTTGAGTGAATAATCAGCATGTGCATGCATTCAGAAAGCTATTTTTCATAAATTAAAAAATTACAATTTATTAATTATTCATGACTCTGAAAGTTCTTCAAAAATCGGTCCAACTGCATTTCACACCAGTATGGGAAACACCGGTTAAACAATAATTTTCCTGGGTGCATCTGTGGTTGATTCTTCTTTCCTGGTTATTATTTATTTAGGAACTATTAGTTTGGGGGATGTGGAAATTGCTTTTTTAAGGGGGTGAACACGGTTTTGGGGGGAATGCAATTAAGAAGTTCAAAAATTTAGGGGAAAGAGTTAAGAAAATCAGCCACTCTGATAAAAGAAAGGGAAGTCACAAACAGTAAAGAAACAGTCTATATCAATTAATTTTATATAAGCTTTTCAATGATAACAGAAACAGGAAGTCCTGTTTAGATGTGGGAAATGGCTTCTGTCTGGTCAACCAATATTCATCTTAAATGGAACTGCCTATATTCAAATGCCATTAAATCTAAAAGCATAGATAAGATTTCTAGCAAATTACCTGATTATATTTTGCATTCGCAATGTGCTTTGTTTCCAGCTGTCCATACTGTGGAGGTTTACAAGAAAACTCTACAAATGCCAGTAACTGGTCAAATATTGCAGGATACATTATTTGCATGTTTTCTGGACCTATACAGATAGCCTAAAAAAAAAAAAAAACCAACAACATTATAATGAAAAACCCTTAGGTCTGTGAAATTTCTAAGTTTTAAATAGTCAGGGAAAAAAATGTAAATCCCATCATAAAATAATGAACTACTTATGGTTAATGCTGGAATAATTAACCATTGGCCTCTAAATCATCCTTTGATGGTATTTATCATACATTTCTGAGCTTGTTTCTTTATCTAAAAATTGGGGATGATAATTTCACTATCAACACAAAGGGGTGTTTGTAAAACTTAAATGTGAAAATTTAATATTATTATCTGGAATAATAACTATTCCTTCTCAAACTTTTACTTTATTCTTACATTCCTACAGGCACTGGGAGATACACTTTTTCTCTGACTAAAAGTGGACACGGCCTTTTCAGCTGTTCCTAAAACTCAACAGCCAACAGAATGTATGGCTTTTGAGAAAGAATACAAATTATTATTTTCTCAACAAGACAAAAACTCATCTTTATTCCCAGAAAAGGAACATGCCTAATATCCACAAACCCAACTATATTAACATATATAAATATATATGTGCATACATTCCCATGTGGATGTGAACACATGCACACTCCCCCACATAAATACATATATAAAGGAACAAAAGCCATTCCCAAAAGATAAATCATCAAAGAATATTAACAAAAAAGTTCTCAAAAGAATTTCAAAAGAAAAAATGTTCCAAATCAGTAATAAGAGAAGTAACCTTTATGCTTCACCTCACACCCTTCAAATCAGTAAAGATGACTAAAAAGATGGTAAGAGTCAATGTTGGAGGGATTTAAAATCCCTATGTCCTTGAATTATTCGTTTTCTTTGAGAGTTCACTTATGGCTTGTTCAATTTTTCCCCCTGAGATTAGGTTGCTTAAAGTCCTTATTTGTTAAGAGTTCCATTAATCTAGGTATTTTACATTTTTGTAAGTATTCAGCTACATTTTTTAAGTTATTGGTTTTGTTTGCATATAATTGGTCAAAAAGCATCAATTTCTGCCTTTCTGCATTCGTTTCATTTTTGTTCTAGTACCTGGTTACAAGTGCCATAGAATACAGAGAAATCTTTATATTCTTTATGATTTCCACTCAGTAGTTGCTAGAGGACTTGGATCATTGCTTACTTTTCTAAAACCCTATTCAGATCTTTAAGGTATTTCCTATTTATCTTTGTATTAGATGTGGCGAGGTCTGAAAAGGGAAGAGTAAAGCCCCCAACAACTATTTCACCACCCATTTCTTCCTGTAGCTCAATCTGCTTTTGTTACTTAGATGCTATCCATTTGCATATATATTTAGTATTCATAGTGTTGGCTTCTTCCTCTGTTTATACATATAGTACCTCAGTTCTTATAGAGGCTTAGTGCAAGGGCCCGACTTCACCGGTTCCTACAGCCTGGGTCTGTGGTCAAAGTCTTGGCATGGAGATGGGAACTGAATGCAGTTCTGTCCACTACTATAGTCTGTAGCTTGAAATTATCTCTGGGAACTCCCCCATCCTGGCTCCACTGGCTTTTATTGCTTCAAATTTCAGCCCTCAAAGTGGCCTGAGACAGATAATGCCGATTTCAGTATAGTTTCTTAGGACATTCCTAAAACTCAGCTCTGCTCTTTGACTATTTCCCTGTGAAGTCATTTACTCAGAATTCTGTGGCCCTAGGTCTATCAGCCCCAGATGTCAGCCCTTAGCATGGCCCCACTAGAATAATACTAACTTCAGTCCAGTCACATAGGCTATCTCTGGCCATGCTGGGCTTGGCTCATTTCCTTGTGAAGTCAACTAATAGGGGGTCCCTGGCTTTAAGCTCCTCCAGCAGCCCCACTACAGAGGGCACTGGCTTCAGGTATTTCCTGGGGATCTTGGTCCCTTGGTCACACTGTCTTTGGCCCAGATTCCTTGTGCCAATACCTCAGGAATCCTGGGTCAGAACTTGATTTAGGTTCCATTTCCTTGTGCTATAATTCATGAGAAGGAAGGACTCTGGCATTTTTCTTTTGTTCTTCACAGGATTCTTTCTCATCTTTACTAATGTTCATCAGGGGAAGCTGGGGTTGATTAGAAATTGTTACTTCACTATTTTAAATGGAATTACGGTTTAGCTCGCCATAATTTAGCATCACCTTAAAGATACCAGTTTAAGTCCCAAGAACACTAGACTTAAAGGATCTTGGTTCAAATCGAGGTTATGGCCCTTACCACCCATATGGCCAGAGGTGAATTACTCCTCAGCTCTATGAAAGAGGTGGACCATATAATTTCTTAGGTCCTTTCTAGCTCTAAATCTGCAATCTGTGATTCTCTAACTTCTTCCGTGCTACATACATATCGACACAAAGTTAGACGGTTAACCTACTGTTTATATTTGACTAAATTTTATGCTTTTGTGGAACAGCAGAAGTTATCTCTTAAAAGTAGAAGTGGGAAAATGTCAAGGTTCCAGGAGATGGGAAGGAGGCATTAGAGAGAATGAAAATTCCTTCAAGCCAGAAAGACAAAAGTATTCTATACTAGACAAAGCTTATCAACCAGACAGATGGTAATTATATGTAAACCAAGATGATGATTTAATAGTATATTTAATTTTAGAGGTTTCAAGATAGCTAAATTGCAGCACTTCTTTAGAGGCAAATATGACTGATAGATATCATTAAATGCACTGAGCACCTTTTATGTTTAATATTGTGCTAGATGCTGTGCAAGTTAGAAAAGAACTATAAAGACTTAGTTGCTGTCCTACAAGCACTTGTCACCTAGCTGGCATGACCAATATAATATACATGAAGCCACTCAACTATTTGTTATTCAGTCTTTTCAGTCATGTCTAACTCTTTGTGACCCCACTTGGGGTTTTCCTGGCAAAGACACTGAAGCGGTTTGCCATTTCCTTCTCCATCTCACTTGACAGATGAGGAATTGAGGCACATAGGGTTAAGTGACTTGCCCCACAGTCACACTGCTACTAAGCATTTGAGGACAGATTTGAACTTAGAAAGACAGGTCTTCCTGACTCGAGGCCCAGGGCTCTATCCACTCGGCTACCTAGCTGTCTCCATGAAGTCCTACATGAAAGAATAACAATGGCAGGGTCTTCATTAGACAGTCCCACCCCTGCTCCTCCCCCCACAAAAAAGCAGCAGTTAAATGCAATGGAAAAAGGTTTGCATGCCCTAAGGAAGCACTATGCTTCGACAGGCACAGCACCCCAACTGAGTCTCTTCTCAGTAACTTAGGCAGCCTTCACTTAACCATGCTGTACAATATGTAACTATGGAGCACTAGATGATATCATAAAAATGAGAGGAGGGATAAGAGCATAGATTCATTAAGAAAACTCTGAACTTAACTTTCCTCTAAAGCAGGTGCTCTTAATTTTTTGTGCCATGGACTGTGTTGTAAGTCTGGTAAAACTTATGGATTGCTTCTCAGAAAGAATTACAAAGGTAATCAATTATATACTTATAAAAATATATGTATGAAATATAATTATAAAAAATGGTTTTAAGTTCACAGATGGCAGGGTAAAAATCTCTTTTCAAAAGTAACATTAATCTTTTTGCTGTCAATCTTTCTTTTTTTAAAAACATGAAACTGAAACAGTACTTAAGGAAGGAATACACACATACACATCTCATACACATACATATGTTCACACAGCCTGTATGTATCAGAGGCAGGATTTAAACTCTATCTGATCACCACAGAGCAGCCTTTTGGAAATGGGCTTAGTAATCAAAAAAGAAAATCATGTAACTGTAACTATATTTCCTTAGCCATTTTAGTTCTGAGATACTAAAATAAAATACAGAGATAATAAGATATCCAAAATACTACCAAGTAGATTTATCAACTAAGATAAAACTAAGATTCCAGATCTTAAATTGTATTAAAAAGCAGCAATCATCAAAACTGCTTGGAAATAGAGGGGAGGATCAGTGGAATAGGTTAAACATGCAAGACACAGTAGTCCACGACTACAGTAATCTATTATTTGATAAACCCAAAGATCCCAGCTTCTGGATAAGAATCCACTCTTTGAAAAAAATGGCTGGGAAAACTGGAAAAGAGTATGGCAGAAACTAGGCATAGACCAAAATCTCACACCATATACCAAAATAAAGTCAAAATGGGTTCATGATTTAGATATAATGGCTGATACTATAAGCAAACTGGGAGAGCAAGGAATAGTTTACGTGTTAGATCTATGGAGAGCAGAAGAATTCATGACCAAACAGGAGATAGAGAACATTATGAAAAGCAAAACAGATCATTTTGATTACATTAAATTGAAAAGTTTTTGCACAAAGCCAATGCAACTAAAATTAGAAGGAAGGTAGAAAAACTGAAAAACAATTTTTACAACCAGTCTCTCTGATAAGGGCCTCATTTCTAAAATATATAGAGAATTAAGTCAAATTTATAAGAATACAAGCCATTCCCCAATTGATAAATGGTCAAAGGATATGAACAGACAGTTCTCAGATGAAGAAATTAAAGCCATCTATAGTCATATATATATGCTTGAAATCACTATTGATTAGAGAAATGCAAATCAAAACAGCTCTGAGGTACCACATCACATCTATCAAATTGGCCAACATGACAAAACAAGAAAATGATAAATGTTGGAGAAGATGTGGTAAAATTGCAACACTAATGCATTGTTGGTGGAGTTGTGAAATGATCCAACCATTTTGGACAGCAATTTGGAACTATGCCCAAAGGGCTATAAAAACGGGCATACCCTTTGACTCAGCAATAGCACTTCTAGGCCTATATCCCAAAGAGATCATTCCCAAAGAGATCATACAAATGGGAAAAGGACCCATGTACAAAAATATTCATAGCAGCTCTTTCTGTGGTGGCAAAGAATTGGAAATTGAGAGGATGCCCATCAACTGGGGAATAAGTTGTGGTATAAGAATGTGACAGAATACTATTGTGCTATAAGAAATGATGAACAGGCTGACTTCAGAAAAACCTGGAAAGACTC